GGGGGCAGGGGAACTACCAACGGACCTTCTGGTAACAACGCACCAAAAGAGCTCGAGCTCATCGGCCTCCGTTAGTGAGAGCGCACAGCGGACGCCCTGCGGGGCTTCTTGCCCCGGCTCTCCGCTAGTCTGGTTTTAGCCTGTGTTTAAAGTAATGCCATCATCCTGCCCGTTCAGGCCTTTCTTGTTTCCTTCCTTTACAGGATAGTGATAGACTCCTAAAAATGTTTGCTCTTCCTTTAGGTCAACAGATTGTGCTTTCTCAATCTAATAATAACAACAATAAAAGTTTCCAGCGTTCTATCTTAAAAATCACACGGACAGTAAAGATGCTGAGAGGAATGAAGCATCACTAAAATACTATAATTTCACATACCTTCTAACAGCTTTACAGTTTTAAATCATAACTTAGAAACCACAGAACAAAGTTTCTTTATATGTACATTTTTTAAAAGCTCAGTCCTTTAAAAAACCATTGTAATGATGTTTCATCACACAAATCTAAAATGATAATTTGGATATAAAATCGCATATAGTTCATATTTTCTATAAATGAACCTATGAAAAACAACCTATGTATTAATAAGAATTTCACATTTTTGAGTTAATATATCTCAAGGGAAAAATCCTACTTGAAGAGAGAGATAAATCAGTAAAAATCATAGTTGTCTCAACAGTGACAGAATTTGATGTTTGCAACATGTTCTTTTTTTCATAACCTTTCAGAGAGATGCTAGGCGTCCTGCAAACAGAGCGACTTGAACGTTTAACCAGGCTAACTTGAAAACAAGCCCCAGGCCAAGCGGCAGGTAACGTATGCGGCTCCTGTCCTCCCTCCAAAATGCCGTCCATAAATCTCCGCATTCATGTGGCTGTACCAGTCCTTCAGGAGGGTCTAAGTGGTCACTGGAGCTTTACACAGAGGACAAGAAAGTCAAAAGCAGCATGACTTTTAACTTCCAATGTTGCTGAAACAGAATGTGCCATGGGTTAAAATGATTAATTTCAAACCAGAGAAAGCAGTATTTCCTTCTGTCTTCTTCAGTGTGACCAAACTGGCACATGCTGTAGCCTCATCAATTAAACTCCTTGATTTGCCTCACTATAATATTTTGGTAGGACACTCCGTAATCCAACTCCGAAACACAATGCAAATTTAAATGGGTGCCCAAGAAGCTGTCCTCATCCGCAGGCTCAGTCCTGAAGAGAAGGTTCCAGGATAACAGACCGCCTCCTTGGGAACCATGCCAGGGACTTCCTAGTGGAAAAGCAAGGTGGCTAAAATCCAAGGGGGGGGCGCGCTGAACAATTCAGAGCCTGTGTGGCTGTTCACACCAGTGGGAAGCCAGTCTGCTAATATACACTGCAAGGGCGGGGGGTATGGGGGAGAGTGGGGGGGTGTGTGTTAAGAGAAAAAAAAGAGGCTGCCAGCATTGGGGATTTCCCCAGCAGCAGACTGCCAACAGAGGTAATGTCAGGACACACCTCGGGTAGGCAGGGAAGTCAAATGACAGAAATCATTTTACCAGTTGGTAAACTTTAGGCCTCAAATAGAGTAACAGTCATTAAATGAATTTGTAATAAAGAATATACCTTCGAAGAGTGGAGATATTTTTCAATTATGAGGAAGTAATTAATAGAATATCCTTCAAAAAACTGTAGGATTTCAGGATTAAATCGCATAAATAAGACCATCTTTTAAAAGGTTCTATCAGTTAATAACACTACATTGCATATTTGAAAGTTGCTAAGAAAATAGATATTGAAGTTCTTAGCACAAGTAAAAAATTTTTTGTAATTATGTGAGGTGATGACTAGATTTATTGTACTTATTTATTGTACTGATCATTTTGCAAGGTATACAGATATCGAATCATTATGTCTATACTTCCAGTCATAGAACTATGTTCTATATCTATTGTACCTCAATTTAAAAAAATTAAAAATTAGAAAAGTGTTCTAAAAAGGAACTCAGTCAGTTCTAGTAACTTTTTACACCACCATTAATAAGTCCTCTCTTCCCAAGGCACTAAGGGAAAAAAGGGATTAAAGGTAGGGGGGTGGGTATGGATGAAAAAGAGTTTCATTGAAAGGTAAGGGGGCATAGTCATTGTTCTCTATCCTCAGTAATGGATTACAGCTACAGTGGAAAGCATGGGAATAGTGATAAATCTTGCAAGCAAATGGATTCTGCAGACATTCTAAATTTTTGAAACTGTTAGAAGGTTGCTTGAGCACATTCTTAGGTTCTTTAAGGTCTGAGTTAGCAAATCTCCACTGCAGGAACTTAGTAGTCTACGAGAGCTCCTTCAGTCATTCAACAAACACTTCAATTTAACACCAAGTACCAGGTACCAGGCTATGCACTGGGGAAACAGCAATGAACAGAACAAAGTTCCTGCTTTCATGGAGGTCATTTTCTAATAGAGAAGGAAAACAGTAAATGATAAAAACAAAACAAATATACAATACACTGAGTAGCAGTAAATGTGGTAAGTGTTATAAGGGCGGACCGCTTAGTAAGTTGCAACAGTGTGGCCTAAAGAGTCTCGGCCGAACAAATGACAAAAGCTCTTAGGCTTTTAGCCTTAGGGCTGCTGAATTAGCAAATGCCCCATTTGGCATAAGGAACATTGAAGCCTCTTTCTAAATTTCTAGAGTAATGTTCAGGTTGGAAGATGCTAAGAAAGAGAAAAGTTTTCTCTCGGATAAAATGGCTGAGAGCACCCATTTATCACAAGAAATCAAAAGAAATGCCACTAATCCACGGAACCTGGGGGACAAAACGGCCACGGGAGAGGCTCCCCTCTCACGTAAGCTATCTGCTCGCCTTGGCCGGCACCAGGATGAGGGAGCCCTTTACTGGTCAGTCAGGTTGAGTGACTCACTGGTATGATCGAGCAAAAAAAAAAAAAAAATTACAGATCATTTCAAAAAACAGTATCTTAGCTCTCTCTGGATTTTACAATTTACAAAACACTTTACTCAGCTTTTTAAAAATTAACTTAAACATGTATAAACAGATAAGCTTAAAAATAGAGCAACTGTGGTTTTAGTTTTCAGCACCACTCTCGTATTTTACTGAAGAAACTGAACTGACATTGAAAATGGGAGACAACATAGGTTCTATCAGGGAAAAAAAAAAAAAAGAGTACAAAACAGAAACACATTTTTTTCCCCATAATTTGCTATAGGTCTTTGTGTAAGTCACTAAGATATCTTCCCATTTATAACTACCTGTAATACTACTATTATTACAGAAAACTGAACTTCTATCCTCCTTTGTTGTAATATACTTCTCCCATTTAGGGGCACTCAAGGAACACCAATGGCAAGGTGGTCCAAAAGCAGCTAATCCAGCTCTTGAACATCGGCTCGGCTTCATCTGCTGCCTTAGCACCGGGAAAGGCCCCTGGCTTTTCTCAGGATCCCTCTGCTCGTCTCATCTTAGTCAGATCCCTTTGACCTCTATGGACTCACTAATACGATGTTCGACCATTGCTGGGTCTGGGGAAACCAGTGTTCACAACCTCTGTAGTCATTTACCAAACGTGCTGCATGGATTCTTAGATTCACTTTAGTAAGAAACAACCTAGAGTACTTTCCATATGCATCTACAAAACAAACACATCCCTTAATATTTTAAAATGTAAGCTAAAAATTATTTGACAGGAGCATTAAGCAGCATTTTTAGATGAGAGAAAAAGGAGGTGCGCTTTGTCCTGACGGGAGACACGCACGCTTCCCCCACTAGGTAAGCAGATGCGGGTGCTTTACCATAAACTCTATTTCCCTGCTGGAGACCAGCAATTAGTACCCAATCAATGTTTTCACGAGGGGACGCTGACCGTGTCGACACCACAGTCCGAGGCCCTTCGCCTCTCTCAGCGCCGAGAAGGCAGATGAGCAGGAGGCCTGGGAGCCCCACTCCTTTTACTCCGTGCCACCTCTTCCCAGAAAGACCTTCTGAGACTTGGAAAATACGCCCGAGTGTTTTCACTCTGAACATCTATTATACGAGTGCTGCACAGAACACAGCAGTCGCAAACGGCGCTTGCTCAGAGCAGCCGTTCCCTCGCTGCCACTATCATACTGATTCCCTCTATAATGGAATCTGTCTGCATTCCTGCCAAAACTGTATTTTTCAATAAATAAGACCACCAGGCCCAAAGCCTGGAAAACTAAGCGAGAAATGGATAAAAAAAAAACTGTGCAGCCAGTCTTAAAAAAAATTCAGATACGACATCCAACATTACCTAGAATTGTTACCTGGTAAGGAGTCAGCAAGCACATATACACCATAAAATGGATGATGGCAAGAATAGGTCATGCAAATATATATACATGCCACTGTGCCACTCAATAGTCGAGGGAGCCACTGAAGTGGTTTTAAACTAGGATACGGCGAGATTCTTTATTGTCATCACTGGGGAAATATTTTATGACTACGTTGTAGTTAACTGTGTAAATGATAGAGTTTAGACCAGCCTTACAATCTCGGGCTTCAATGAAAGGGACAGCTATCATGCCTTATATGCTTTATGCGCTACAAAAATAACATGAAATTGCCCTTCCGGCAAAATGCTAACTCCCCCATCTCTCGGGCTTTGTCTACTGCCCAGACTCTCTAGTCATAAAAATGTAATTTAAAGTTTTTGAGCAATAAAGAACATTAAAAAAATAACCCACTATACTCAAACACCTAAGCAGCATAGTCTAGGATAACGATTCACAATCGGTGTGCTCAGTCTGGCTGGGCAGTGCATGGAAAGTCACTTGTTTCTAACAATGAAGTATCAACCTTAGCATGTTATTTTTAATATAAAATCAATATAAGTTGATATTCCCTGTAATAGATCATCCTTCTCATCCACGCACATTCCACCGTACTTTCTCGTTTAAAAAAACTGAGATATCATTGACATCTAACACTGTGTACGTTTAAGGTGCACAATGGCATGGCCCAACCTGTGAAACAAGGACCACGACCCCCTGCCCACCTGTTATGGCTGAGGGACGCGCTGACGGACGTAGGCACCACGGTCTGTAACCCTTCTCCCTCTATCTCAGTGCCGACGAGGCAGATGAGCTGGAGGTCCGGTAACCCCACACAGTTTACTTCATGCCAACTCTTACCTGAAAGAGCATCAGCAAGTGACAATAATGTCTATCGAAAATCAAAGATAAAACTTCTAAACTTCTACCTAATATTCAGCTGAGCAAACATCTCTTATAAAGCTATCTTCTCTTTGCATTTTAATTTATCTTCTCTTTTACTTATTTTGTTACCCAGTAATTCCCAAAGTAAACGGATGAAGAAATTACAAAACTGATGATATTAACAGCAAATGTATAAATGATGGCTTATTATAATGTCAACAATACTAGAGCCAAACCCAACTCCCCAACCCTCTACGATGGCCCCAATAATAAAGCGATATAAACAAAAACTTACTCTCCATGAGGTCCAGGTAAACCAAGAATGCGATATAAACTTGGGTAGCATCTCCTATATCTAATTCCATCATTTCTAAATACTGAAAATCAAAATGTAATTGTTAGAGAATGAAAAATCTCCTAATATTTTTTTTCACTCAGTCAACAACTGTTTATTAATATATAATGTGTAAAAGTCAATACTAGATACAGTGGGAGTTACAGGCAACATAAGACCTGACCCCTGCCCCTAAAAAAACTTGGATTAGGGTAAACACATTGCACACTTGCAACTGTTAGGCAAATAACCACACCTGACAGAAAGTGATTAAAAACTGAGTGAATTTAAAAAAAAATGACACAGTCCTGGCCAATGTGGCTCAGTTGTTTAGAGCATCGTCCCATAAACTGGAAAATCATGGGTTCGATTCCCAGTCAGGGCGCTTGCCTAGGTTACGGGTTTGGTCCCTGGTCAGTGCACGTACGAGAGGCAGCCCATCGATGTTTCTCTCTGGCATCAGCGTTTCTCTCCCTCTCTCTCTCCTTCCACTCCCCTCTCTCTAAAATCAATAACCACGTCCTCAGTAAGGATGAAAAAAAATGACACAACAGGTCAGAGGAAATATACTCAAGTGGCTTGGTTGGTGAATGTTTTACAGCAGAGACGGGATACAAGTTGGGCCCTGAAGGACATGTATGATTTCAGTAAACTGAGAAGTCACAGCAACAGTGTCACTAACCACACAAAGGTGGGAATGAGCCACACATATTCAAGGGCCTACAGGCAAATCTATCCGCCAGGTGCAGAGACGTTATTTCATTAGATTTTTGTTGGGACATAGTAGTGGGAGCCTCTATTCCTCTGGTCTCTTATTTGCAGGTGGAGAAAGTCTGCTAGAATACCACTCCTGGCCTGTCCTTCTTTCTCATTCAAGAGTAGGGAGTTTATTAATTGCTGAATTTTAAAGAAAGAGCCAGGCAAGCTGCTGCTGCTTGCAGACTTGGTCGTCTGCAGGGAGGGACGTTCTTCACAAGTCTACTCCTGCAGGGGAAGCCTGAGGTTGCCCAGCTACCTCAGCGACTAGGTGGGTAGACAGGGCTGATGCAGAGGTGAGGGATTCGCAGACCTGCACAGGGGCGTATCTGAAGCCACATTCTCCAGCTGGTTTCATCATAAGTCATGGGTGCAGGAGAACAGGGGTGTTACCAGTTGTCCTCCTCAAACCTCAAATGTGCTTGACCACAGCGCTGAAAAAGTTATTGGGGACCGGGTTGCAAGGCCTTGATAACCAACCTGAAAGTCTGAATTTTACCCATAAGGAAACACTGAGGACTTCTAAGCAAGAGAATATGAGTAATGTGGTGTTTGAGGATGATAAATCTGATACCATGTAACTGGATGGACTTAAGTTATTTTCAAACTGAATAATTAAAAGGCAAAAGTGAAAAAACCAAACACCCAATATCTTTTCTTTTCTTTCTTTTTAAAAAACCAATTAGATCCTTCAAGAGGAAAAAAAATTGAAAGGGAAGATCTGATGGTCAGGGCCTACATATAGTCATTAACTTCAAAGACAAAAAACCTGCAAGTATAAAAACTGAATAGCAGCACCAAATTATAGACGAGGTTTTTAAAACTTGTTACTGGTGTTTCACTTTTTAAATCCTTACATAGTGCTTATCATATGTAAAATGCCTTACAAATATTAACTGATTTAATCCTGTAACCCGAGGTAAGTAGTTTCATTATCCCCATTTTACAGGTGAGAAAACTGAAGCACAATGAGATTAAACAATTGGCCCAAAATCATAAAGCTGGTAACAGAATGATTCAAACTCCAGCAACGTGGCTTTGAGTTCATGCTCCTAACCGCTATGCTGCCTCTCCAGGTTACAGTTTTTCTTTTTAGGGAACTGAATAACAAACATCTCCATGTTATTGTCTGTTTTTAAGGAAACAGAACAGGAGGATAACATTAAGCAAGATAAAATGGGAAGGAGTTAACTCTTCAGACTTATGTCTTCAAAATTTTCCTTTCCCTGACGGTTTTTCGATGATTACCTATGAAATATAGGCTCTGCGGCAGAAGACTGCAATTCTACCAAAGCTACTAGACCAGTCCCTGCGATTCCTACAAAGCCCCCACCCCATTCACTGTTCATTCATTGCCAGGGGCACTACTGGTAGAAGCAAGCAAGGGATTACCCTTCTCTCCCTTACCGCTAATACAGAAAAATACACCACGAAGTGAGTAGCTCTACTTTCGGGAAGAACCTACAAACTTCCCAAGAAATTCGAAAAATTAGGCATCCGTACTGCGGCAAAATCAAGACACATATTCGGGCACCCTGGGCCCACGGCTTAGGTCCTGAACCTTTATCAGTACAGGGTCGCAGATCTTATCCACAGCTCACAACCTGTTCTGCGTGGTTACTGTGAGGATTCAACGAGACTGTCCCCAGAACCAGCCCTAGATGGCCAAACTCAGACATTTAGCAGAGTGGCTGTTGTTGGCCTCCGGATCGAGAGGGGCCGGTTTGTCTTTATCTGCGGTTAAGCAAGGTGGTGGGGTAGGGGATAGTGTCCGAGCAATAGTTCAATTCATTGAAACAAACGAAAACAGTATTGCTTGCAGTTGGCAGTGTGCACAGGGGTCCCCCTCCGCGAGGGTCCCGCGTGAACTCGGCAACCCGGCCCTGCAGGGGTGAAGGGTTAGGAGGAGGAGCGCGGTCTGGGGGTTTTGCTTGGGGTGGGGGCGTGCACCGGCGCCACGCTCCCTTGGCGCCTCCTGACCTTTGGGTGCGTGCCCATCCAGGAGTCCTCCGGGGCCCATGGGTGGGCGCCGCCGCCGCCAAGAGCGCCGCCCGGGCTCAGACCGCTGCAGCCGGGGACCGGCTCGGAATCGCCGCGCTCTTCCATGCCGCCAGGGGTGCGCGCGCGTTGTGCACTACGCCCCGCGCTCGGCCAGAAGCAGGGACGCGTGCCTTTGGGTTCCGCCTCCCGGCCACCCGCCGCCTCTGCGCCGCAGGGCTCACATCGGCCCCTCCCAACAAAGATAGCTAGAACCTGCACTAACAACTCTAGGTTTGCTCTCGTGTCTTGCAATCTGAGCAGATGCTAGAGGGAGGAAATTGCCTCACATCAGTGCTGTTTGCAGCTCTGTTGAGAAAGTAGGGAATACAGAAGGCCTCTTTGCCTTCAACATTGGGTCCGGGTCTCCCTCCAGTTCTGGGGAACGGGAAAAGCCTCATTCAGTGACCTGTAAGTTTCAAGTGCACAAGTGGGTGAGATCTCTATAGAGGAGAGTGGAAAGAAGAAAGACCAGAGTGCCGAGAACCAAGAATTTTTAGGGTGGACTCAGTGGACTCACCTTTGGGGGAATTAGAGAAGCAAGAGTAAACAGGAGATGTTGTATGAGTGGTCACACAAGTGGGATGCAAACCCGCATAAACATGTGACCAGGAAGCCAAGGATGGGGAGTTTGAACCAGGCAGGGTAAGTCACTGTAAGCATCCATGGATTTACTGTGAGTGAAATGGGGAGACCCTGGAAGTTGCTGTTAACGTGTAATAGTATCTCTCTAGCTGACGTGTTGAAAATAGACCGTCGGGGGCAAGGGTAGACAAAGGCACTAGTTAGGAAACTATTGCATTGACCTAGGCAAGAAATGACTCTCTCAGGATTGAAATTCCCAGGCAGCAGTAGAACATCTGCTTCCAAATATGGCAAAAACTCTACTGGACTACCCTCCAGTAGAAAACATCTGTAAAACTTGGATATCAGACAAAAAGCAACCACTTGAATATACTTAATGCAATGCAAACGGAAGCAGGCTGACTTAGGTAAGAAGAGGAGCTTGCTAAACCTCTCTGTTTTTCTTATCTGGGGAGCCAGAAAAGTGAAGGCAGGAAATTTGAATGCATAAGAACTTAGGAAATCCCAGAGGGAAGAAGCCAGAGAGGGGATCCCCAAACTCTCTCTGCTCATATCCCTGACAGATCCTGAACCACTTGAAACAGAATCACAGCAGTTCGGTTAAAAACAAAAGATCTGAACTGAAGCCAGAGCTGTCCCCAAACAAACAGAGTTTGCAGTTCAAATCCAGCCAAGGAGTTTACCTACCAATACGTAAGAAATAACACCCATCATCGAAAAATAGAATCCAAACACTCCACAACTTATCATTCGTAAAGTCTAAGCTATGATGCAAAATTACCGACATATGAAAAACAAGAAAATGGATCAGATTTTCTAGAGTCCAACTCTAAGATGAATCAGATACTGAAAAATGACAGATAAGGACCTGAAAGTAACTATTATAACTATCCTCAAGAAACTAAAATAAAACATGTGTTCAGTGAGTGAAAATCTCAGGAGACATATAGAAAAACTTAGCAGAGAAAAAGAAAAAAAATAGAAATTATGGAACTGAAAATTAAAATTTCAGAAATAAAAAATTTCACTGAGTGAATTTAACAGCCAAGTTACAGGGGGCAGGGAGTAAACTTGAAGTTGGAGCCATAGAAATCATCCAAGGGGAACAACACAGAGAAAAATGATTTTTAAAATATGAGCAGAGCCTGAGAGACCTACAACATGATATCTAACAATCCAACATACATATAAATAGAATACCAGATGGAGGAAAAAAATGGGGCAAGAAAAACTTGAAGAACAAAAAATTTTTCCAAATTTGATGAAAGACAGATATTTGCAGGTACAGAATGCTAAATGAACACCAAGGAAAAGAAACAACAAAGTCCATGCTGCAGTCAAATTGTTGAAAGCCAAATAAAAAGTTGGAATGCATCAAAAGAAACGTAAAATATCACATACAGGGAGAATGAGTGCATGTATTCCTGAAAGTGATGTAAAGCCGCACATAAAGATTCATACGTTTCCCTAGAATGTATTGCATTCGAATCATCATTAACCTTTGTCTCTACAGAGCAGCTGCTAAGCCCTAAAGTAGCAAATGGCACTGAAATTAGTAGACTCCTTGAAGCACTGAACTTGACATTAATTGAAGTAATTAGAAGTGAATGAATGTTTCTCTCTGACCTCTAAAGATCCCAATCAGTACATATGATGGTATTTATAGAAGCATTAAGAGCATTTTGCTCCTAATGAGAGTAGAGGGGAAATTTTATAAATTAGTGAGGAGATCCAATGGAAATAGGTACTATGTGAACAAGGCTCAACCACCTTCAGGGGAAGGTTTTCAGCTAAAGCTTAAATTTAAGAAGGGGGTGGGGAATCCCAGGAGGATGCAGAAAGAACTGTAAACTGAAAAAGCCACAGGCTAATTTACACTTTGGCAAATATATGACGTTCTATCACTCACACAAAAGCGTGATACATTTAAGCGTGCATGTTAAATACTCCTGACTTTTAATAACTATGAAAAAGAGTTAAAGAATGAAAATAGAGTATCTTTTGGCTTTTACATTAGGCAGTGGAAATTTATAAATAAGTCTTCATGGCTGGAAATGGCTAAGGAAAACAAAAAAGGACTTGGGACTACAAACACAGCCTAGTATTTAAAGTACATGCTAGAATCAAAATGACTCCTGTGGCATCTAGCGTGTAATCCACAGAGAACAGGTTAGAGTTTCAGCTTTTGACAGTCTGTAGGATTTCGTCTTTTATAAATGCTTCAACAGCTCACTAAATTAGAGAATCAAAGTGGTTAGGAAAAAAACTAGTTAAGTAACAACAATAAAATTCCCGCTGGGGGTAATCAAATTCCGTGTAATCCGGTACTTGTTCTACTGATTTCCCATCCTGATGTCTGAGCCAAAGCATTTTATTCCCTCAAAAAAATATCTAATGTCTAGGCAGAGACATATTAATTCAGTTAGAGTCCCAAGAGGAAAAACAAACTTTGAATTGCAATGTGAATTTTTAGTGTGTTAAAAAGAAAATCACACAGTATTGTGTAAGACTGTGTTTTCAAGCTGGAAAACAAAGGCCAGCATTCTGGATCAGCTTTTAATTCATTGGTTATGAGAATGTTCATATATAGCTTGTTCTTTCTTTTGTACACAAACTATACAATTTTCCATTTTCTGTGTTTCAAGGAGAATGGGTGAGATGTTTGTGCTTTTAGTAAAATATTTAGCATGCTCTGCTCCCTTACTATTCACATGCATGAGCGTATATGAGGGATTTCTTTCAGGCAGGAAATAATTTAGAATAATACAAAATATGTTTTCTCCAATTTCACATAAGTTTAAGAGTACATTCTAAATTCTCCATTTACAAAATCAGGATATGGTACACTTAATTTTTTAAAATACTGCTAATATTTGGAACAAAGAAAACAACAAAAATAAAGTACCTACAAAAGATAAGCAGGCTCTTTATGAAGAACATTACAAATGTTGTTGAAGATCATTAAAGAAGACCTTAAATAAATGGACAGACATACTATGCTTCTGAAGAGAAAGATTCAGTATTGCAAAGGTGCAATTTCCCCCAAACTGGTCTATAAATTCTAGCAATTCCAATCATAATCCCCACAGGGATTTTCCTAATACCTATTTCTAAAATGTGGACATAAAAGTCCGAAAGTAACCAAGAGCCTTCTGATGAACAAACTAAGGGCACTTATTATAAAGGGTATGTGATATTTGCACAGGGATAGATAAATAAACCAATGGAAGAAAATAGAGTCATACAAATTTGCACAGGAATGATGTTGCTGATGCAGGGAAGAGTTAAGGCACTGCATGTTCGCATAAAAAGAAACTGGATCTCTAATTGCACCATAAACAAAATCACTCTGAGGTAGATTGAAGGCCTAAAATGAAGTGCAAACACATAAGCTTTTGGAGAAAATATAAAAGAATATTTTATAACCCCGATATAGAGAAGGGTGTCTTAAACAAGTCACAAAAAGAACCAAACATGAAAAAAAGTTTGAGAAATTTAATTTTATTTCAATTAAAAATGTCTGACATAAAGATAGCGGGAAAGAAGGGGAGCCATAGATTTGGAGGAGGCACTTGTAATAAGTAATTGAAAGGAAAGTTTGACATCCAGAATATATATAGAACTCCTAAAAATCAGTTAGGAAATAAAACAAAACACTCTCTAAGGGGAAAAATGTGGATAAATAGAGAAAAAAGCCCATAAATGTCCAGAAAACATAATTGGTGCTCAACTACATTGGTGAAGTGAGAAAACATGTCAATTGAGACAAGAAAATACTATATCATACCCATGAAATTGATAACAAAAGCCTAAGAGCTGGCTGGAGAGCAGAGGAAAGATGCACAAATCCCATGAAGCAGCAGTTCTATTGCCAGGCACATAGCCAAGAGCAGCATTTTTCAAATGGAAGGCCAGGATCCATTAGCTTTTGTGAAATAAATTGACTGCTTTGGGAAGAGTTTTAAAAAATATAATTTAAAAAATAAAACAGAAAATATCACTGTATATTGCATATGGTTAGGATAACTGCTACTAAGCATTGCCTCATGAAAATTTTGTGTTTTCTATATTTATACTACAGCATGATATCAAATGTATTTTTAACTGAGGGTTATAATAAAAAAAATTATCTCCTGTGGGAAAGGAGGAATGTACAAGAATATTTATGAAAGTCTTGGTTGTGACAGGAAAACAAAGACAAACCAAATATCTATCAGTAGTAAAACAGATAAATCCATTGTGGTATATTTATACAAAATATTATTACTTGAAAATAATGAACCATAACTTCAATCAACAATCTGGTTGAACCTCCAAAAAAACCCCAAAAAACCCCCCCCACAAAACCTAATGCCCAATCCAAAGTATTAATCACAGAAAAATATATACAATATGATTAAATTTTAAAAATCCAAACATGGTTTTCACATGTATGTTCATAGAAATGTTACTCATAATAGGCCAAAGGTAGAAACAACCCAAATGTCCCTCATTTGATGAATGTATAAATAAAATGTGGTATGTCCACATAATGGAACATTATCCAGCAACAAAAGGGAATTGAGTGCAGATACGGGCTACAACATGAATCGACTTTGAAAGTATTATGCTAAGGGATAAAAGTCACAAGGGACCACAGGCTGTATAATTTCATTTATAAGAAATGTCTAGACTAGGCAAATCTATGGAGACAGAATATAGTAATGGTTTCCGAGGGCTAGGGTTGGGAGAAAATGGGAATTGCTTACTAATGAATGTGGGATTTCTTTGGGAGACAATAAAAACGTTATAAAATTCACTGTGGTGAGGTTGCATAACTCTGTAAATATACTAAAAGCTACTGAATTGCATACTTTAAATAGGCAAATTGTATGGTGTGTGAAAAATTCAAGCACAGGCAACACTAACACATTTAGGAGGGGCAGTAGGGAGGATTATCCAGAGAAACAGAACCAATAGGATGTGCATGTTCACGTGTGTACACACACACACGTGCGCGAGTGGGGGGAGAGAAAGAGTCTGAAAGGGAGGGAGAGATACACATGTGGGGGGATAAGAAGGAGAGACTAGGAGAGAGAGGGAGAGAGACAGACAGAGATAGAGAGAGAGGGAAGGGAGAGGTGGAGAAAGGCGTGTTTTGAAGGATTGGCTCATGGCAATTGCATTGGCTGGCAAATCTAAAATATGAAGGGCAGACTGGCATCAAAAGCAATTCAGGGTCCACAAAATAGTTCATCTCTTTTTCTAGATATTTATTCAGCATTTGCTATCAACCTGGTGTTGAGTCTCACAGAAGAGCAATAAGTACAAACGCATTGAACTCCAAGTTGAAAATATAAAATTAAAATGATCCCAAAATGGTAATAGTAGTTGTGGTGCGATCATGGATTTGGGGTAGTTTTTCTTTTCTTTCTTTTTCCATTTCAACATTTTTTTTTTTAATCATACAGTAAAACAGACTTAATCATTAAATTTGGAGCCTTGGAATAGAAGAATTAATCGTAGTTGGATTATTTTGAATGTCCCTCTCTGTTTCCTTCTATCCCTCCCTCCATTCCTACCTCCTTCCCTCTCCCTTCCTTCCGTTTTTCTCCCTTCCGTCCCCTGTCCCAATGTCAAAGTTTCATCTACACTCTGGCCTGCATTCAAGAACTACATAAAACAGTGACTCTAGAGAAGACTAGATATGCCCTTTGAATTGTATTCACTCATTGGTTCCAACATTTATTCAGTGCCTACTGTGTGCCAAGGCACGGGTGTGGGAAGTGCATGGGTAATTAACATATATCGTATAAACAAATAAATATAAGGAAGTGGTGTGTATTAGGGTAGAAAACGAGGATAAGGAAGGGTGCGGAGAGAGAGGGAAGGCCTCGTTAAATAAACATCTTTGAACTCAATAGTATGTTTTAGGAAAAGAACAGGGGTCACAGTGGACAAAGAGGTTGGAATTTCAGGTAGATAGAAACACAGAAGCAAGAAGGGTTAGAGTTAGGGTTAGGGTTAGGGTTCGAAAGATAATAGAGTAAGAGAGGATTGGCTGAGTTTTTATCTGGAGGGAAAGAATAGAGAGGAGCCAGTTGAAGATTCGGTAGAGAGTGGGGCTAAATGAGAAGAAAAGTCATGGACGAGATGGGAAGGGAGGGGTAAAAGGCTCTGTCATGATAGGCACCTGCAAGGCAGGAGTGTGTTGGGGGAGATGTTAGTTAGAGACAGGGCGTTAGGAAGTTCAGTAAAGAACGTGAACTCCTCCAAGGGAGCTAGGTGGTCATGGTCGAGTGGTGAAGGCTTCTCATAATTGCAGAGAAGGATGGACAAAACTAGTAGGAAGGCAGTGGGACAAGTTGGGGTGGGGGTTATGAATATGCAATGGTAGCAACCCACCTTTCCCATGATTGATTAAAGCCTGCACAGTCCCCCGAAGAGGATGTTGTGGGTTTCATTACCAGCTTCTCTGTGTAATCCTCAAAGGTAAATATCCTTTGGCAGTGTATACTAGCAATTTCATTCCTCCTAATCGTGTTCTTTCCTCTTCTCTTCCTTATGTCTCTTTTCCTCCAACACGTATGGACTCTTCTTCTCTCGGTTAGTTTAGATCATCAGGGAAGAAGAAAACCATCTCGTTGAACCCTGTCTGGGGTCTGCCTGTCCTGGCGGGGAGGTCAGGACCCCGGGTTGGCAGGTAGAGTGGGGATTCAGAAGTGTCCAACTGGGCCTGTCCGTTCATTCCAGGGGTTCGACCTGGCTGTACAATCCCCAAGTCTTCAAGCTTGGTCTACTCAGATCCGAGGTCTGCTCGGTCAAGAACAAACTTCAGGAGAAATGGAGCGTATAAGTAATTGCAAACATTCTGCCTTTGTGAAAGTTAAAACAATTTTTTATATCACAGTAATGAAGAGCTGGGTGACTTTCCATTTTAGAATTCTACCCATCTAGTCAATAGGTGCATTATGAAAAACTGGGTACATTGCATCACTGTGAAGGACTTCAGTCTGCGGTTTGCGAAAGCAGAATAAATTTTCTTGGAGTTGTACCGTTAGGTACACACACATACACACACACTCACACGCCCATTGGCAGACACGGCCACACCTCACCGCTGGGGGCGGGGGGGGGGGGGGGTGGCGGGAAGCCACAGACCTCAGCTGTGCGAGGCTGAGACCGGACAGGAGGAACTTTCCGCGGGACTGAGGACAAACAGCGACACAGAGCCGACTGCAAGCCTGAGCCCCGGGCAAGCACTGGCGGCAGCAGGTACCCGGTGCGCCCACGCGACAGGGCCTGGGCGGCGCCGCGGCGGCGGTAGGGTCTGGGGCTACGGAGGCCGGTGCCGGCGTGCGCGCACCCCCGGCCCAGCCAGCCGCATCCCCCGGCTCGGCGCTCGCTGTGGGTCCCCCGCCGCCCGCCCCAGCCGTGAACATGGCTGCGAGCCCCGCCGCCAGCCTCGCCTGCTCGCTGCTGCTCCTTTCCTGGGCTCTGCTCCGCGGCGGCTGCCGGGCGCGCTTTGCCGCCGAGCCGGACTCGGAGGACGACGACGAGGAGGTGAGGGTTTTCCCCGAGTCGCCCCTGCAGAGACCCACGGTACTGGTGGCCATCCTGGCCCGCAACGCTGCGCACACGCTGCCTCACTTCCTCGGCTGCCTGGAGCGGCTGGACTACCCCAAGAGCAGGATGGCCATCTGGTGAGCCACCGGGGGCCTGAGCCATGGCGGGTGGGATGGGGGGGAGGCGGCGTGCACGCCCCGGCCGCCTGCGGGGACCCGGGCAGGGGGCCGCACTGCGCCGCTGTGGGGCGGCGGACCGCCGGGGACCGCGGGAAGGCTGGTGCGCACACCCCCTCGCTGTCTGCGCGGGTCCCGGGAGGATCGTGCGGCCGGGCTGGAGAAAGAGCGCGGGTCATTGTGCGCTTGGGCTGCTAATGAGGATAACAAACCGCCCGGAGCTCCGATGGGGTCTGGGGGGGTGGTGGATCCGGGCGTCCTTGTCCCTCTCCTGGACGAGGGTTTGGGGAGACCCCGCAAGAGTGCACGCTTCTCCTCCCTCTGGCTCTCGAAGTGTCTTATTTCCCCACCTCATACCCATCGCCCTTGACTGAGAGAGTAAGTGCGCCTGTCGCCGCCTATTCCTGCAGAGGCAACAGGGAGCGCAACTGCGGCTGGCAAGGGGGTCTCCGGAATGGCTGGGGTGGCGAAGAGTGCGCTGCCCTGACTTCCCAGTGCACAGGTCCCGCTGCCCCGGCAGAGACTCCTGGTTCTCTGGGATCGGGCGGCAAAGGGAAGATGTGGACCCAGAGTTTGAAGCTAGGTAGGACCGCCGCGCCTTCGCGTCCATACCACCGCCGTGGGCCCTGTCTCCTGGGAGCGCTCCCGGCTGGCCCCACCTGTGCATCCTCCTGAGACGCATCCCCCGCCCCGGATGCGAACCGCGCTGGGCGCCCTGGAGTCCTGCGTCCTGGGAACTGAGTTGCCCTCGAGAAAGCGAACAGCCAAGCTTTGTTGCCCTTAGGATATAGAGCCCCGGGCCTGGTTCCTGGGTTTGCTAGGGGGAAAGCCGGACATCCGTTGGGGTGGCTGCCGGCCCCAACCTTAGAAATGGGTTCATTTCCGCACCTTTGATAATCACAGGTGTCAGGTGATCCGCTAAGGGGCCTGGGGAAGGACGCTGCCCAAGGGAGACAAGCAGTCGGGTACTTGGACAAGAGGACTTCCTAGAGGAAGACAAAGCCCTGGTCAACCCAGAGCAGTTTCTATTTTGTGTTGATAAAGGAAGCTGTCTGCAGATAGAACATATCCTTGAAACCACATTTGGGCAGAAAGCCAGAAGGATGGATAAAGCAGTAGCAGGAATTGGCAGCCTGGCCGTACCTGGCGGGAGAGGTGCAGAGGTGAGAAAGCAAACATGAGGTATAGTGAAGCACTGTGCTATACACTGCTTTACTATATACACCCTGCTATACGTGACCGCTGCCACGGAGAAGGGCATGTTATGTGGCAAGTGGGAATGCTGGAGCAGCCAGGTCTAAAACCAGAAGGAAGAATTTTTTAACCACTTCAGTACCAAAAAAAAAAAAAAAAAAATTCACATATGTCAGTTCTTAGATGCTTTTTTCCAAAGGAGATATTTTACAATATGGTCTTTATGCACTGCTTAGTTTTAAAGAACATTACAACCGTTACTATTTAGAAGAGATACTGTGATCCTTATTTTACAAAGGAAGAAACTGAAACTTGAGTCTGTTCAACGACTCAATTAAACTCACAGAATTGATAAATGGTAGAACTGGAATTTGAACCTAAATGTGCCTCTAAACACCTGCGCTGGTAAAGTAGCAGTGGGAACGAGACATAAGCAAATCTGACATAAACCTATATGCTGCAAATCAGGAGATGAGAGTTGTTGGTCACCAGCTTGGTATGTGATCTGGGGGCAGTTTCTTGGGAGCCACAGACATCAGTTTTCTCATCAGTAGCATGAGGGAATGGGAATACATTTGAAATTAGAATGTTAAAAATTCTTTCTGGCTCTTGAATTATGACATAGATTTTACGATGTGCTCAGGATCGGCCAACAGCGATTGTACTTCCTTGCTCCCCTCAATGCGCCCAGTTCGGTCAGTACTGGTGTTCCGTTTAGGTGGGTAGTATCCCAATTTTGCATGGATCTTTGGGATCTGTATTCCCTTGCCCTCATTCATGATTCATGTAACTGTACCTTGTCCTTTATGGCCAGTGTTGCAAAGCTAAGGAAGAAGCCCGAGCCTTGGGTGTGGCCTTGTGCACCCATGCATTAGCCACTAAAAATTCTTGGGTTCTGGCTTAGGAACTTCATATCATGTATTAGATAATGATAACCAAGATTGGCAGTTTTTAGGTAGTGCTTTATAGCTCCAAAAATACTTTAATCAATTATGTTATTTTATTTGATCCTTACTGTCATTCTGTAAAGAAATAAAATTATCTCCATTTCATAGAAGGCATTCTGCCTAAAGTACCTGACCTATTCAAAATGATACTTATTTGTTAAGTATGACAGATACTTAATACCAAGAACTCACGGTTCTTCTAAGCACTTTACACTTACTTTCTTGTTTAATCTTTATAAAAACCCTATCAGGTATAAACTGTATTATACCCTTTTACAGATGAGAAAACTGAGGCACAGAGAGGTTGTACAAGCACGTATCCCTAATGACCTAGTTTGGGCTGAGAGAAGTTGAATAAGAAATGGCTCTTCACAGACAAATACAGCTTTTTTCTTTTTTTCTTTTTCCCTGGACAGTGTAAGGTTATCTGAATGGCATTTACAAGATGTGGGGGAGCAACAAAGGACTTCTAGATCAGATTGGGACAGTTGTGTGGTCGCAGAAGGCTTCTTGAGGAGCTAACCCTTAGTTTGAACTTAGTTTTGAAGGACAAATAGGAATCTACTAAAACCTGGGAGCGGGGAATGAAGATTCCAGAAACAGGGTACAGCGAGACCAAAAAAGGCACAAGGACATTAACCAAATTTTTTGTCAGGGGAGATATTGTGGGTGGCAGGTCTACTCACAGCAAATCTCCAAATTCATTGTATTGCACGCCCGGAGCTCCTAACTTAGCGACTGGTCCTAGGGGAGTATTTGGCTGGGAAGGTTATAGGATGTGACCCTCCAGGTGTGTGGAACCTCTGTTTAAGATGCTACAGCTTTGAGAGGCTTCTGCCAATTGCTCACCTCTGGCCTGTCTGTCCCAAGCTCTACTTAGCATTGAGATGCCAAGCTGATTAATATTCACTCTGCAAAACCAGCATAGGCTGATGTCAAAAATAGTCAGTGACAAAAATAGCTGCAAGCTGCCCAGAACGTTACAAAGCAGAACCCTGTTGAATATACAGTCTGAGTGCCTGCATCTGATTAATCTTATATCAATAACCATGCAGAGGCAGGCTTCTCGTTCATCTGCCTACCTCTAACCACGGCTGGGGGAGCATCTGGGAAGATTCCTTCCTGAGTGGGTAATTGAGGGGCCTGGCTCACTCGCTGATCACACTCAGACTTCCTGGTGATAGGACGTTTCTTCTCACCTAAAGCTCTGGACCAGGTGTGCGCTGCACATACGGGTGGGAGGAGGGTCAACAAATTGACCTGGAAATGTTTGCTGTCAGAGTGAGTGTAGCCGTCTCAGCGTCAGGCTCGTTCAGATTAGGTTGACTTAAGGAAAGTTTATATTTTAGACATACTTTGTACCAGCAAAAAGGAAAACTTGTCCCATTTGCTGATCTGATCAGAAAACGCTACCAAACTAATTGTTTTCCTTCAAATAGCACAGCTTCATGATGTGCAACGAAGGAAGGGATTCCTTGTGTTCTCCTGAAGTCCTGAGTGGGTGGGAGCTGCGGCTGTGTTGAGGTGAAGGGAACTGGAGGCGTCGTGACATATGGCCATGGACCTCAGAGGGTTCTCTTTAAATCAGTGGAGCCATGACCAGTGACCTCATCCAAAGAGGGAAGGCCGGTCTCACCCTGTTTCCAATCCTATGATTAAGGGCAGCCAGACCAAGTACCATGATAATGCAAAGTGGAGCGGGGCACCAGGAAAACATTTGGCCCAAAAGATATATTAACTGTGTCTTTTGGAGAGCCTGCCATCGCCTGTGGGGAGCAGTTGGGGTTCGCAGTGCCTGTGCAATCACAAGGCAGTAACTGCTGTGTAATTACAGACCAACGTGAGCATTTCGCTTGGCAGAGTGTTGGAAAGTGATACATGCATCAGGGGCCGTTCTATGGCTTTCTAAATAAAGAGATGAGTTTCTGTTTCATTAGGGGTACGTGCTTGTACAACCTCTCTGTGCCTCAGTTTTCTCACCTGTGAAAGGGTGTAATACAGTTTCTGTTGACATAAAGCCTCTCAAAGCTGTAGCATCCTAAACAATGGTGAGCCATTCTTGGTCTGGGTACTGATCCCAATATTTTGTATGCTGCTTACTCTGTGTAGTGTTTGGGGATTAGCTTGGATTGATCTCCACATTTTAATGCTCTACCAGAAGGCTTGTGGTGAATAGTTAACTAGATTCTCTAATATACATATGTTTACCAAGTGTTCCAAACTATTCTCATTTGGAACAGCAGTGAAAATGATGTCACATTTTAACATTACCATCGTGATATTAAATGTTTACGTTATGCTCATGGAGAGAAGTTTCATCTCAAGGCCAAAAAAGTAGATGATACTTTAGTGCCCTTCTCTCCGTTAGTCTGTTTTCCTCACTTTCTCCCCTTCGTTTTCTCATTATTCACAGCCGGGGGTTAATCCCGAGGTTGGAGCCTGTGACCTTAGAGTCAGAGAGACGAGGGTTCCAGTCCCCAGTGTGATTGTGGGCACATCAGCAAACCTCTGAGCATAGCTTCCTCATCTGGAAATGACTAATAATAAGACCTACCTCACAGATTTATCGTAACAGCAAATGAGATGTTGCATTGACGTTGTCTTTTATATAAATGCTACCAAATATCCTATTCATCTTTTCCTTTTTGTTCCATCTCCTTTACCTTTACCTTCCCAAATGGAGATTCTAAAAAATACATGATCAAAAGGAACTCTGTTTTCTTCCTTCCAATACAAATGATCGGTGTAATGAAAATGAACATTGTTTGGAGATGCTATTGTAAACATTTGGCTTTGATAACTTATCTACTCCTGACCACA